GAAAAAGAAAATCGGTTTCTTGTCTGTGTTCCGTCTCAGGGCGTACTCACACAGTTGCTGTATCTTAAATGTAAATGTATCTGATCGCATTTACGGTCAGACCTGAATGCATCTGGCCGCAATGACGTCCACGAATGAGTAGAAATGTCCTACCCCCAGTACCGGCCGTGTCTCAGCTCCTGTCCTCCCATTCGTTTCCAGTCTGCTCTTGTCTTTTTTTTTTTTTTTTTTTCCAACGAACTTTGCATTTCATGGGGGGTTTGATCCGTCCCCGCCGTTCGGTATTTTATTTTATTTTTAAAAAATGTTTTTTTCTTTTTTTCGGAGTTTTTCTCCTTTCAGAATTGTTTTTCTTTCTTTTTTTTTTTTTTTTTTTTAATCTCAATGCGGGGGCTTGCTTTATTTTATACGTACGTGTTTCTTTTTATACGTACGTGTCATTTCTCAATGGGGGCTGCTTTCAGAAATGACACGTACGTATAAAAAAAAAAAGAAAAAAAAAAAAAGAAAAATAGATATGACACGTACGCATTGAGAAAGCCGCAATACCGAATCCCACCGAGTATATTGTCGCACGGCGACACCTGTGGGACGTCCGGGGGACATCCACCAGCCGTTGCTGCATCGAAATCCGAGGGTAGCAAAATAAAGATGTTTGTATATTTAAAATTTGTGTTTTAATTTACTTTTTCTTGTTTTTTTTGGTTGGAGAATAACAGGATGTGGGGAAAAGAAATACCAAGTCTGTTTTTGATTGGTGGTTGTCGAAAACAAAAGAAAAAATCAAGTACTCTAAGTCGTTCATAGAAAGCCCCTCGAGTACTTCATTTTTTTCTCAAAATATAAGGACTTCACGCTTGAACATGGGAACCGTCACAGGAGGCAGTCCCGTCGGGCACACTAAGGGACTCCACTCCCTCTCTGTGGTACGTGAGACTCGGACTGCAATCGTCACCTAGCACTTGTCATAGGTGCACCCTCAGGCAATAAAGAAAGATGGAAGAAGTGAATCTGGCGACGTTCTAGAAGGGATACATTCATCCACTGTCCATTCTACCGTTCAAGAAGATTGCACAGCCTCTTGCAGCACTTCCAAAGGTCGGGCTGGTCCCCACCTTGGGACTTGAGAAGTCACCACTTCAATTTTCTTTTTTCTCTTTTCTTCGTTTTTCTGGAGTTTTCTTCGTTTTCTGGAGTGTCGCAGGCGTCGCACTAGGCCATGACTCGTGTGCTAGTGGAACCGTGCCCCGAGAGGATTTCCAGCTGCAATAGGCAATACCCGCAATACCGAATCCCAACGAAGCCAACAGGATTACAACAAAAAAAAAAAAAAAAAAAAAAAAGAAGGTGTAAGACTACCTAGCTCGGGCCTCGCTCTCCACTACTCTCGACATGCACAAAAGACAAAAGTCATGGCGGTGTATCTTTCCATGTTCTAGCGGAAGATCCACTCTCGTTTTGCACATTTCCACTTTGCACATTTCGAAAGTAGTGGAGCGAGGCCCAACATCCCTCCTAGCTCGGGGGTCAAGTCCCACTAGCGGCGTTGAGCTACTACCTCAACGTCTGAATCTGGACGCTTTTGCGGAGATGTGCAGAAATGGTGTTGAGTTTGCTGGACTGCACGTCTCCACAAACACGTCCAGATTCAGGTGTTGAGGTAGCTCAACGCTGCTAGTGGGACTTGGCCCCCCGGTGGAGCACGAAGCAGCCTGCATCTTCATTCAATATTCAATATCCACATAACGCGAGAGTAAGACGAGAAGCGATCCAAAAAAGAAAAAAAAAAGAAAAAGACGAGAAGTGACACGACAGATCCGCCATCGCCAACCTCCTCAAACCCTTCTTTTTTTCCATTAAAAAAAAAAAAAAAACCTCCTCAAGCCCTTTGCACCACTACCCCCGTCGTGTGTGCTCCTCCGCAC